CTATTTCTGTAACTTATAATTTGATTGTGTTTAGGATGTAGACAGCAGTTGAAGAGAATCAATAATAATACACGAAATAAAACCACCTGGTGTTATCAAAACTGCAAATATGTTCATTCTTTCTTTATTCAAAGTAATAAAGGCAACGGGTTGTATGACATTGCCAAGCGGATCAAACAGCAGAATGGCAGTCAAACCTTTACGTCAACTTTATTCATTATGAAAAGACCTTCGAATGCGAAACCACGAGTGGGGCGTTGTTCGAGGTTAACATGGAAATGAAGAGGATGAGAGACTATGGGTCTGCAAAACTTGGGACCAGTTGCAGAGAACAGGGTTAAACTTGGATGTGCGATTGAGTGGCTACCGGTACTTTTTACACATTTACTGAAAGCAACCACTTCGAATTCAAATGCCTGACGAAAACCGTTGTCAGAGAATATCAAGTGAACCTTTATTCCAGAGACTATCCAGGAGTATACGGAGAACATTTTACACAGCACACCTATGTTTGCCATTCTCTAGCCAATGAATGATTGGGACGCAAACCAAGGATAAGCTTGATAGTTTTGCCACATATATGTGCATTTATCAATTCAACTGCACCTGCGGTGACAGTTATATCGGGCATACTACCAGACACTTTAGCCAGCCAACGTGTTCCTGAACATCTCCCATCATCATGGTTTGGCAAAGGACACACAAAAACAATCCGTAGCTCATTTTTGTCACATTTAATTGATAGTGGTCATGTAGTGGAGAAAACGACAGTCTTCAAAATAATTCATCGTATCCCACCGAATCTTTCCAGTAGACTTCGTATTCGTCTACTGCACACACACAAACACACAGCTGAGGCAGGCGATAGGCATTCGAACTATTAAACCTAAACTATGCTTTCATTCAAAAGAAGTTCGTACAGCCATTATCCCTCCCTTGTTCGCCTATTAAGACATAACCAACTGATGACTAATACACCACCCCTTGTTTATATTTTCAATCACTTTCTTATCATCCCTTAATCTTATCACATCTTCATTGAAGACGTGTTTCATTTACTTCCTTTACAATCTAGCATTACTTGATCGGTTCATTTGTTTTTACTAGCCTTTATCGACTACTTTGTCGACCTGAAAACACTTGTTTGTTTAATCATGCTGTTTTCCATCAGAATTCGTGTTATCACAGATTGCCTCAATGCTTCATCCTTATTTATTATTTTTTTGATTACAGCTTGATTCCACACTGTATTTTTGGTACAAGTATGGATTTTTCAGCATTGGTATCGGTAGCCCAAATTTTGCAGGCCGACCATAGATATCACGTGTGCGTCGGCAGTGGATCGAACCTGGGACCATGTGTACGGTCGGTGAGAGTCCTAACCACTGTGCCGCCGACGCACATTATTATTATCATTACTACTATTATGACTATTGCGCAATTTAAATTCACCATCTTATTATCATAGGATAATAACATAGTGAATTTAAAATTTTATTTGTAAAGTTATGTAGGTATATTAGAGTTAAGCCTGATGAGATCTAATTGAAACCACAATATTGTTCGCTTAAATGTGTTGTTCTAAACATCAAATTAAGTCAGAAAAGGTTGTATTTTGTTTGCTTTTATTTTAATCGCCTTTACAGTCGTCGTCATAAAACTTATATTATGCATAGTATTACTTATCAACTCCTCCGGTATTTGAAGTGATACTGAGACCAGTTGAAATTCTGAACAGCAGCAGCACCAAGTCAGAATCCTTAAGGATGCAAGGATAGATAATAAGCTGACGATTATCAAAAATAGGTGTACCTTCAAGGCATGGATTTTATTCTCCGATTTCCACTGAAGACAATAATTAATAACGAATAATTGGCAGTATCGCAAAAGAGGACGTTGTACTTTATATAACCAACCTGACTATGAATATTGATCTAAATACCTAATTTTCTGCATGTACCTTAACATGTTCTGGTTGTATGTCTCTCTCACCACACTTATTGATTTATAGATTTAATTTTCTCTCACCCCAATTATCACCTTGGAACCCTATTGGTTGTTGACTGTTTTCATTTATCGATGTGATTTGTGTCTCATGAGGTCAATTGAAGCCTGTCTACAACATACATAAAATGGATACGCAAGCGCTGTCAATCGTCTTCACGGTTGATATGAGAGAAGGTACAAAGCTCACCTTGTCAACAGTCAATATTGCGCAACAAATCGGCAGGAAGAAATGGAGATGGATTGGCCATACTCCGAGACAACAAACCATCAAGTGACATCACTAGACAAGCCATCACTCGAGTGAAACCCGAAAGGGAAGCGGCGAGTTGGTCGTCAGTGCGAGGGTGACTTGGAGGAGGAGGTCATGTGAAGAGGAGATGAAAGCATGTGGGCAGACTTGGAGCCAGGTGAAAACCTTAGCATAGAACCGGACGCAACGAAGACGTGCAGCTGATGCCCTATGTTTCTCTAGGAATTAAAGAAAATAATAATAAACACAATAAGGAGTATCAGTTTTTAAGCCAGATCACTCTCTCTACATGTATTCTCACTGAGGTGACTGAAGAGGCGATTTCCTCGTAACCCGCTTAACCCTCTTATCTTGGCTTTGTAGTCTTCCCCAAAAGCCCTCGATGGAATTACTATGGTTTCCAGTAAGAGGATCGACGACTACTTACTAGGAAAACGTGGGTGTTCAAATAAAGTAAAAATAAATAATACCAACCCCAAATCTAATCCTAATCGTAACCCTAAACCCTTAATCCTAAACCTAACGAGCTATTAAGACATTGTTCAAACAGTAGTTGGGAACGTGAACTGGGTGAAATTTTCTCCTTAGTTGGTGAATGGCGTTAACATTGGCGCTATAAAAATAATAATAATGATAAAATTAATAGTAAGTCCTGTTATCCAACGACTAACGTGCGTTCAAGGTCATTAGAGAGTTCACAACCCCGGGACGTGATGCTTTAACTTCACCAAAAACGAGACAAGGATAACGGCGAACGAAAATCCCCACTACTACTAAAGTAGACTAAACGTTGCACATAGAACTTTGCACCGATGTACACCAGTTCAATTCACCACACTACCTCCTTGTAGCACACAAAACAACAGAAGAAAGCAGAAGTAAAAGAAATGCATAATAGAGAGAGACAGTAACACAGAGGTGTGAGACAAAGGAATAGTAGTAATAACGAAGAACAATATAGTTTCATTGGAAATCATAAGTCACAAGGAGTGAGTGGATGCACCTGAGCCAGCCAGCTATTGAGAACGATCACTTTGAGCCAGCCATATCACCAACTGTTTCCAGCCTTCATTGGTTTTTACCGTCCCGAGGACCCCAATCAATCAGGAAGTCTACACCTTTCTACGTGACTGGCTGGCTTAAACTAACTGTTGTGGATGTCATTGACTGATGAAGCCATGTTTTGGTTTGACCGCCACTAGCTCTTTGCCAGCCTGACAAATCCTATGTCAGCTAACATTGATCTTCGTCAAGGAAGGCGATGACTACGCATACGTAACATATGCCCTAACCATCTCAGTCGACGTAGTTTCACAGCCTCATTGTCGATTGATTTCCCCTCCTTACCTAGCACTCGACCGACTGATGCCTAACCTCAATATGGCTCACCTTGTTATACCACTTCACATGGGAGATAGACCGCAGGCACCTATAATCAAAGAAAGCTAGCCAATCTTTTCATGTCTTCCATTCTCAATGGCCAGGTCTCACAGCCATCCATAAGGGAGGACGGAGCGGAGTGCTGAGGTGTACACCCGCTCTTTGGTCGATAGCCAGCCGGATATCACGTCTACGCCAGAGACGGAGTAAACTGGCATATGCGAAACTAGCCCCCTGTCGTCTAACAGCAACAATAACAACAAGAACAGTTTGCAACGCGAAAGAAAGGCTATTCAAATAATAATCCACTACCAGGACAAATAACATATTATGACCTCAAAAAAGTGTAGAAATAGAGTGCCATAGACCACAAATATTTTTAGAGCACGATGAAGCACAATAATACGCTACTAATGAATAACACATGCAAGCATATAAAAGATAATATGTAGGATTCATGTGACAGACAAACAAAAGAATATGCATCGAAAGACACAATCAGGTGACTTTTTTTCTTTAACAGAAGACGAAATAAAGCAGCGAGAAGGGGTCATGTGATGATCTATACTTAATCACCTCATATCCACCAACAATCCTATACACAGACGTTTATTACCATTAATAGTGCATTTAGATTTGTGGTTTGAATAGCCTAACTTGAAAGTCAGGGGGAAAAATCAATGATTAAAATCAATACGAGAAGAACTGCACGTGACTTTCACATTCCCAACCTGACAACACCACACCCAACTCATATATATATATATATATATATATATATATATACACATATATATATATATATATATTACTTCCTTCGGTTGTGAGTAGAACATACTGTTTCAACAACACATCGCTACTCCCTTCTATTCTCTTCAGCGCAGTACACGATTGCTCATAATTTCCCATCTCCTCCTCCCACCAACTCACACCACCTCTTCCATGTCACCGCAGCACCGATCGCCTGTTCGCTTTCCATTGGGATCCCAGTCAACCGATGGCCTGCACCTGGCGGAGTGTCATTCGACAACCTCCTTCCTCAGCGTATACCCGATCCATCCATATCCATTTTCTCCTACATATTTGTTGAGCAGCCGGCGGCTCTTGGTTGGTTCGATCATTGCCAGGCAGAGTTTCTTGTTGCTAAATGTTTCTAGCTGGCTGACCATTTGACCTTGATTATGCAGTCGTTGATGAAAGTTTGCAGTGACCTGTTAGAAACACTTTTCGTGACAAACGCACAGGCCATGATTCTGACTCATATAGAAGCACTCACTGACCGACTGAATTCACTGATATTTGTGTTGACGATGCGAATCTTTTAGTTTACGCTAGCCGAGGCGGAGTGAAGCAGAGAACTTGCAAACTGGTTTCAGGTTGATGAAGGCTTATTTCGCCTCTCCGATTCTGTCTCTCTGTCTGGTTGGTTGAGTGTATTTTACGTCTTCGTCCGTTCCGACGACTGCCTGTGGTTGAAACAATACTGTCAGCCTAGGCTAGATAAGTGAAGGTAGTCAGTAACTAACCTCTTTCTCCCATTGATGGTGATTGGTGGTGCGAGCTGTTGTTGTTGGCGTTTGTTCGTTGGTGACGGTTTGTTATCTTCCATTTCCGATTTCTCTATGTTTATCACCTGGGTGAAGTCAGTCCTGTCTTCGCTGCCAGCTAGTCAGTCAGCCAGTTTTCTCAGTCATTTTGTCGCCAGTCTCTGTCTGGCTCCAAGCATCCAAGTTTGTCCTTGTGTGACATTGAACAACAACATAACTAACTCCAGTAACAAGTTGATATTCTTCGGTAATGACTCTTTGAAACTTCAATTGAATATGTACACCCAGTATTTCGCCCAACACACAGATGATCTATGAGTGGAACGTTAATCCGTTACTGATTTCTTTATTACAAAACAAACAATCACTAATGCTACAAGAAATTGTGACCAGTAGGGTGCAGCAGGTAGGGCGTGAGGACAAATTACTTGACGAAGACAATGGCTAGGGGTCGCACTATGTCATGAATTGGCAGAAGTTAGAATTCATTGGATGGCCATTGGATCGGGTCCCACTGGCCTAATGGTATACGAGCTCGTCTTGTAACCAGAAGGTCCTGGGTTCGAACCCTGGAGGTGGCTGCGTACTGATGAAGAGTCCCAAACTAGGACGAAACAGCTGTCCAGTACTCCCAGGTTTTCCAATGCTTCTCTAACCAATGTCAGCTCATGATGAAATCCTGTAATCAACCAAATCCCTACAAACCAATACTTAAATAATTTCTTAATTATTGCAGATTTCTAAGTGACGTTCCTGGATTTCGTTCCATAGACGGACTGACTGATTTCCACATGGGACTTTCCACAGACATGAAGCAGTTCAACTTGCTGCACTCCATGTACCACGCAATGGAAGATAAAAGAGACAAAAAGATATTCGAAAGACCTATATAAAGCAGAAATGTCAAGGAGTCGTTCGGACCTCGTGGATCTCGATCAGTTAGGCCATTGCCACCCTCCTATCTATTCCGATTTTATATCAGCTTGCATATCCCGTCGACGAAGATGATGGCCGCGGATGAATAGGATACGGCCTAGGCAACTATCTCAATCCATGTAGCTTCAGAACATCATTGGGTAAATTTCCCACCTTAAATAACAGCTGACGCCTAACCTCAATATTACTCATCCTCTTATACGATCTAACAAGGGAGATAGAACGCGGACACCTAGAATCAAAGGAAGCTAACATTTTTTCACGTCTTGCACTTTTAGTGGGCATGCCTCACAGCTAGCCAGCCAGACCACAAAGGAGGACAGAGCAAAATTTCTAAGCAGTACTGAAGTACGTCCTTTGATTGAATGATAGCCAGCCGGATAAAACGTCTACTAAGCCAAACATGGCGCAAGTTAAGTTGACTGAAAAATGCCAAACAAGCCTTTTGTACCTGTACAAGGCTGAGATTTCATCAGCGATCAACCCACTGACATTGGTTGGGTCGATGTAACTTTCCGAATAAGTGAAGTGGTTAACACAGTCAGCCAGCCACCATTTCAGTCCTGCCTGCTTGTCTGTCACTAAGCTAGGATTGATTTGAAACAGTCCAGTCCTGTAGCCGCATCATCTTACATTTGACAGCAGCAAGAGAGAATCTCTCCCATGCCAAACACTCATTCGAAGATTGCTGCTCAAGCTCAAGGTGTTCAGAAGACTCTGCTCTATTCTGCCAGCGTCTTCACCTAGGAGGGAGGATTATATCACCACCTGCATACTCTAAGTCAACGAGGCTATTATTCCCTGGTGGCAACAGGTCAATCCTTGAATCGCTCAACTCAGTTAGGGTTAAGTCATTTAGCACTTGCATCTAAGATGAAACTAAACAGAAATGGGGACAGTCAGAATCTGTCAGATGGACATCACTGATTGTCAACCACAGATTTCAGACGACAACTCTCCATAGGATCTCACCTGGCTAGATCGCTGCATGAGGTTGAGTAGAGTGAGTGCCTTGAACAGTGAGATGTATTTTCCGGCCATTCACTTCATGGCAGCTAAGCATCGCCAGAGTACCTCTCGGTCGACAGAATCGAATTCCGCTTTCACATAAACAAATATGACGATTCTTGGACGCCAACGGCAAGTATGCCCATGTTCTCTCCCAGAATCTGTCGAAGTGTGAAGATATGATCGATACACCCTCTTCCTGGTTTAAAGACTGTCTGCTTATCTCGTGTTTGTTTGTAGAAATCATCTTGCAATTTATCCAAACTGCAGTCAGTTGAGGCGTAAGAAGAGACTATGAAAAGACAAAGATGGGTAACACCGTCTTTCTTTCTTCTAACGGACCCGTTCAGACGGACCGCACACATACGACTATCTACTGAGATCCTGTCAAGAAGGGAGTTTTCTACTCTGACAATCAGTGCTATCCCTACACCTCCATGTCTTCACGAATCAGCTGAGGAATTTTCTCACACCCTTGCGGTGAATTTTGCAGATCCACTTTGTTGGCTGGGTGGAGTTATGTCAATAACCACACTCGGGTCTTGTAAACGTGTCTCGGAAACACAACATACATTCGTGGATCGAGATGCTAGAGTTCTGGCTAGTGATGCCTGTAGTCCAATTCGGCAGAGGGCCTTGCCGTGAAATGCTTCAATATAAAGTTAGTGGCATGGCTTTAAGAGGCTATTGGAGGTGCTTTTCCGGCCCACACAGAATGAACTCAAGGTGACTGACCAGTCTGCAGAATAGTACTCACAGAAGTAGGGAAGAAAAATGATGAGGGTGACAGGGATAAAAGAGGATTATGATCAGTAGGGCTTCGTGTACTTTCAGAAGTTTGGGCGATTGTTAATTCCGAACTGAACACACCACCGTGGATGTTGATTTATTCTTGGGTGGAACGGAAAGAGTTCGGTCACACCCGGTTTGTATGAAGTGGCTTTTCAGTTTGATTCCGTATTAGTAACTTACTGCCGGATACGTACCACCGTGTGGTAAATCGGGATGTACAATTTTTGAGGTCGACCTTTTCTAATTCCTTCCATCTAGAGCGGAGAGACAGTACAGCTGGCTGGCATGCTGGTCATCTAAGGGGAAACATCGCCTTACTGCTGTTACATCCTTGTTCCCCAGCAGTACGAATTTCGCCCCAATAAACGGACCCCCAGCATGGTGTAAAAGGAAAACTCTTACACTAAGCAGATAACTGCTATTAATCTAATCGCTATCTTAACAGTCTTCATGGCATGATAGAACCTGCAGGGACATTAGTTATAGCTAGTGTAGCTTGTTGGGTCATGGAGATATGCAAACTCGACCACAATGTCAGAGAGCGGCAATCAGTCGGGACACCATGTATATAACTTAGCCAACCGACACAAAATACTATCAACAAACATGAACTTGAAGAGCTTTAAAGTAGGGGAATAATTTAGAAATAACGACGGGGAATCCCTCTAAATGCAAAACAGTCAATTTCGCCTTTAGACATAAATCTGACCTAAACACACTGGTGGTTAGCACTCACGAGGTGTGCCACATAGATGGCACTGAAATAGAGACCAAGTCGGAAATCAAATATCTTAGCGTCATTCTATCCGGTGATCTTTCCTTCCTTGTCGTCTCATATCTTGATGATTTCTAAGAAAATATTCCATCTTACCTTCTACATCAAGAAGTTAAGATATTCTGGAATAACCCAACCCGACCCAACCCTTACTCTTACGATTCGTTAACTCTTGCATCCTTCCTGCCTATTATTCACTATCGTTCCCCCTTAGTTTTTCCAGGGCTATACCTTAATACGTAGAATGTTGTTAAAGGTTGTCAGCAGGCTAAGCAATGTGCCACTTAACCAACCAGCTTGTTAATATTCTGGTCAACAGGCACTTGGTCTCATGTGAAAAATGGGCTTAATCCATTCTATCTATCTAACTCACACCACCACCGTCTTCATTAACAACTCTCCCCTTGTATCTCATCACTCAGGCAGACCAGAAGCCTATATAGAAAACTATATTCTCTCACTAGCAAGTACAGAAACTCAAACATACCCACCCTACTTGACTCAGGTTCTGTGTGATAAAGAAAGCATTAGGCGTGATACCTATAACTTATTAAATAGTCAGTAGAATAACTGGGTCTCGTCTTTCCAACTCATATCATTTCTAGGTACAACATTTTCTTTCTTTCTTTTCCTTTTCCCTCTCTCCCTCTGTTTGTTATGTGCTGTTTTGTTTCTCTCTTCCTTACACACTCTACTTAAAACATTCTTCTTCGTTCTATCACACTCTGTATATCTCAACCTTTTTGCTATCGCTTCGCCAGTAAATATGCTTGTGTCTACTTTTATAACACCACTCAGACATTCTGTTCACTTTTGGCTTTGCTTGCGACATGCTAGCATTTTTTTTCAAATCTAATTGAGATTACCCATAATCTATGTGGAATTTTATTTATTGTTAATGTACCAAGTGGAGGGAATACTGTAGTGAAATTCTGAGGATTCCATTGTGTATTACAAGTACTGTTTTGGAATAAAGCAAATTATTATTATTAAAGCTGAATATATATGTATGTACTCACCTGGCCAATCATCTACTTCAGTAACATCGGCATTCTTCAAAGCTTCATTAGTGTTCACAGACCATTTGGCCTCGCCAGCATCCATCCCCGCTTGCTGTTTCGGAGTTGACACTGATTCAACTCTTTCATTAAGTCGTCTTCGACGAAATTCAGTTGAATCTAGCAACCAAACACGATAATAATATCGTGACCAGAAATCAGCATCACTAATCGACTTATCATCATTAATTTTACCGTCTGGATGAACAAGTTGCGTCAAGTATGTACGCATAAATGGATAGGCATCTAACAATTCTGATGGACTAAGATGTGGTGGTTGAGTAAGCTCTTCAACTGGAAGATGACTGTATTCAGGATTTTTAGCATCAGCTAGAGGGATACCTTGCATCGGTTGACAGTTATCTTCGTCGAAATATGCCGCTCTCCAATCCGCATAGGAGTGAATGTTTGAAGAGACAGGCGGCAATGGTGGCTCTACCTCGTATGTAGCAGGATCTGCTCGTAATACATCAAGACGAGCCTGAAAATGAAGGGGATTGACAAACGTGAATCAATCAAATTTACATAAGTTTACAAATAAAAATTTGAAAGACATCAATCATCAAGGAGTTTGACATGCATTACCGATATGTCGATGACTGACTTGTACTTAGCTGATGGGAATGTTACAACATAGACGAATGGTTACTTACATTCAACAACATTCCCCTTCGCTTACCCTTACTTATGAAGAGAAGCAGGAGAATAAACTACAATTTCTGGATGTCTTGCTAAGTAGGAGAGAAGATGGGTCCACTTAGGAGAAGCGTGTATAGAAAAAGCACATTCACAGGGCAATACACACACTTCCTTAGTTACGTGCTCATTAAATATAAAAGGAATATTGTTAAATTTCTTGTGAGCAGAGCAAGAAAGATATGTACGGATGACCTCTTACAAAAGGATTTTGAATATATTCACGATTCCTTAACGGAGATGAGCTATCCGAGTAGTTTCATAAAGAAAAATATGACAACATCAGAGAAAAAACCTGAGGCTCTGACTGCATATAAGAAACCTCTATTTATTAAGTTACAATTAATTGGTGACTTATCTAGTGAAACTTTATTCCAGAGGCTATCCAGGAGTATACGGAGAACATTTTACACAGCACACCTATGTTTGCCATTCTCTAGCCAATGAATGATTGGGACGCAAACCAAGGATAAGCTTGATAGTTTTGCCACATATATGTGCATTTATCAATTCAACTGCACCTGCGGTGACAGTTATATCGGGCATACTACCAGACACTTTAGCCAGCCAACGTGTTCCTGAACATCTCCCATCATCATGGTTTGGCAAAGGACACACAAAAACAATCCGTAGCTCATTTTTGTCACATTTAATTGATAGTGGTCATGTAGTGGAGAAAACGACAGTCTTCAAAATAATTCATCGTATCCCACCGAATCTTTCCAGTAGACTTCGTATTCGTCTACTGCACACACACAAACACACAGCTGAGGCAGGCGATAGGCATTCGAACTATTAAACCTAAACTATGCCTTCATTCAAAAGAAGTTCGTACAGCCATTATCCCTCCCTTGTTCGCCTATTAAGACATAACCAACTGATGACTAATACACCACCCCTTGTTTATATTTTCAATCACTTTCTTATCATCCCTTAATCTTATCACATCTTCATTGAAGACGTGTTTCATTTACTTCCTTTACAATCTAGCATTACTTGATCGGTTCATTTGTTTTTACTAGCCTTTATCGACTACTTTGTCGACCTGAAAACACTTGTTTGTTTAATCATGCTGTTTTCCATCAGTATTCGTGTTATCACAGATTACCTCACTGTTTCGTCCTAATTACTGATAAAACCATTATCACTCTTATGACTAATTGCACAATTTATATGCACATTCTTATTAATCCATAGACAGAACACCATGATTGGTTTATATTTGAATTTTTATTTGTAAAGTTATGTAGGTATATTAGAGTTAAGCCTGATGAGATCTAATTGAAAGCACAATATTGTTCGCTTCAATGTGTTGTTCTAAATTTTAATATGGGAATATTTAAAACAGTTACATACCTGAAGAGTGATTAGTCACGGTAAATTACGAATAATCAACGGAAATCTAGTGTTGAAAAGTCACCCATGAATTTGAATTCACTTCTGACAGTGAAGTGAAGACAGACAACTATCTCCAACAGACAGGAATACACTGCTCCAACCGATAACAAGACGCTAGAAGATCTGGATTTCGCTTATGGATGATTTATGGCATTGAATGTAACAGAAACACAAACTCGAAGACCAACAGGCAGGCAGGCGAAAACTGGCAACAAACTGACTGAGGAGACTGGCTGGCTAGCTAGCTAGCTAGCTGGCAGTGAAAACATGACTGACTCCATCCAGGTGATGAAAATGGGGAGGGTGGAAACAGTGGTGATGAAGGTAACCAGTCACCGCTAACCGACCAACAAACAAACAAACGCCAACAACAGCTCGCACCACCAATCACCATCAATGGGAGAAAGAGGTTAGTTACTGACTACCTTCACTTATCTAGCCTAGGCTGACAGTATTGTTTCAACCACAGGCAGTCGTCGGAACGGACGAAGACGTAAAATACACTCAACCAACCAGACAGAGAGACAGCATCGGAGAGGCGAAATAAGCCTTCATCAACCTGAAACCAGTTTGCAAATCTTCTGCTTCACTCCGCTTTAGTTAGCATAAACAACAAGAACCCCTTTTTAAACACAAATGTCAGTTAAGTCAGTCAGTTAGTGCTGGCTTGTAATAACCGAACCAACCCACAAGTATCTATGTGAAAATGGAGGCGGATTGATCGGGGATATGTTGAGGATGCAGGTCGTCGAATGGTATCGACGATGCACACAATGCAGGCCATCGATCGAGTGGAATACGAATGGGAAACGACGGACGACTGGGTCGTCGTTGCCAGCGTGACATGGAGGAGATGAGACATTATGGGCAATCATCAAAGGGGCAGTCAGCTGAATAGGAGAGCAGAGAAGTAGGAGAAGAGAGTAGAGTTGTGTTCTGTTGTTGCAGTCATACGTTCCACTCGGAACCAAAGGCAATAATAATAATAACATATTAGATAAAGCAATAAGAAGACGAAATTTGTCTTATTCGTGTAGTGTATTTGCGCAACATATTTTGAACAATCTGATCACACACAAACTTCTCATACGAATATATATGAAATTAATAAATAGTTAAAAGGTGAGAAAATAAACTACTTAGGTCAAGACATATTCAAGGCCAAAATAACAATGAAGACGACTAAACCAAATAGCAGAGGTAATAGTGCATCTGCTATGGTATCAAAACAAAATCTACCAAGGAAGGTTTAATGTGAGGACGAATTGCTTTTGAACGCATAAAGGTGGCTTAAACTTTCTAACTGCCAGCTAGGGCTTCCACAAACTTTAGGATACGCCCTCCCGTAAACACGTTTTATAGATAGGTTTAAAATACCTGTTAACGTCAATTTTATGTCCTGTCTCTATAATATGTTTCGCAATAGAAGAGCTAGGTCTCCTGTTCTCACCGTTAATAGGTTCTGAAGATTCCATTTGTTTAAGGAGCCATTTAGGAATATGCTCTGAAGCCAGCCCTTACCTGCAGAGATCGATGAGTCCTCCCTATGTATATCCACACGTACATTCAAATTGGTAAATACAGTGGAATGTGACATCATTTTTCGCATGTTTGAAGGGTTTAGATAGATACATTGGTTTCACATTCTCAATTGTTATGATATTAGGTGCATAAAAAGTCTTTTTAACAGCAGCGTTTAGTTTTCGTATAGTTATCAAGCCGCTATGATGCCCCATATAGAGTAGCTTGATGTACACGTTTTTGTTAGGGGCTAGTTGGAGAATAGGTCTTGGTATTCTGACTACTTTATATCTCCTGATGAACTTGTCTGCATAATTGTTATCAACCAGAATTTGTGTCAACTTTCTTTCTTCTTCATCAAGTGTGTCTGTCTTCAGTGAATATTCGTTGAATGCTACTAAAGAGGCATCTTACTACGGCTGTTTTGTACCAAACAGAGCAGAAACTTTGGTAATTAAGATACTTTCCTGGTCAGATAGGTTTTCTATAAAAAAAATAGATCTTTTTATTGACCCATAACATATTCATTATTGGAACGTGGAGACTTCTAGAAATCATATGACAGCAATTATATAGCTGCTCAATAATATCAAAACCAAAGTGCTTTATAAGTATAACCAATCCACTTATTCTATCACTTAGGTTTTTAGGCTTTCAAAGCTTTTAAAAGGCATAAACATATAGATAGATGGATAGATAGATATCTCATGTAAACAAAAAGAAAGAAAAATTACATAAAATCAATGTTGATATATATATATATATATATATATATATATATATATATATATAGAATCAGTAAATATTACTCTTCATATATGCGAACTTCAATATAGACAGCAATAACAACGAGAACAACAGTAGATCGAACCTAGTACGTACTTATAACATATATATCTAATGCAGATGTGTACTGTAAAATTCACTAATAAACAATTGATTGTTATTGTCTGTTTTTGATTTACAACGTGTTATTATTACAGTTAAGTAAACGCATTGTTATTATTATTATTATTTTAATTATTATTATTATTATATCACAGTGATGAAACACACACTGATGATCATTATATGAAATTATTACTAAACCAGTTTGTAAGCTAAAATGTCCAAATTCCTACTTACAAAAAGCAACTGCTAATAAAGAAGCGTTGGCTTTTCGTCACATTTTTTGGTTACAGGATTTCGTACTGAGTTGACACTAGTTAGAGAACCATTGGAAAAAAAGCTGGGAGTACTGGAAAGCTGTTTCGTCCCACCTAGTTTGGGACTCTTCATCAGTAGGCACCCCCGGAATTCGAACCCAGGACCTTGAATATCAGTGAGATGCTCACTAGCGACTTGCCCTATTCAGGCAGGTAGTTACCTGGGGTTCTAGTGAGAAATCGTGACCAGTAGGATGCAGCAGGTTGGGTGTGAGGACAAATACTCGCCAAAGACATTGGCTAGTGCCAGTCGCTCTATGTCGTGAATTGGCAGACGTAGAAATTCATGGGTCATTGGACCAGGTCCCACTGGCCTAATGGTATACGGGCTCGCCTTGTAACCAGAAGGTCCTGGGTTCGAACCCTGGCGGTGGGTGCGTACTACTGAAGAATTCCAAACTAGGCTGGCGAAACAGCTGGCTGTCCAGCACTCCCTGTAGGTTTTTTAATGGTTCTCTAACCAATGTCAGCTCATAATGAAATCCCTACAAACCAACACTTGAGCGTCACATTTTTGTCTTAAAATCCCCTTTGCTGATGTGGAACTTAACAAGACAACCCTAGGGAACCTTAAGAAGATCAGTCTATAATAGTAAAAAACGATGTTTGTGCTAGATGAGCATCGGTTGGTGCGTCATGACTCCCTGGTTGGGGTCCGCGA